TTTGCACATAACCAGCTTTTTTCATTTATCTTTCATTAGCACAGGTCTTCATTACTACCCGCCCAGGCCACCCCAATAACCTTCGTATCTTCTCGCTTCCATTCCCTTCCTCCTGCTATTTCCAGGATTACCTCGCTCTCCTAATGTTACTCCTTCTCAAAAATCCTTAGTGACTCCTTTTTGCCAGCTAAGTGACAGTTCAAATTTGACATTAAGTGATCTAGAGCAGCGGTGTCAAATTCAAATAGAAACACCACAAATTAACTACCTCTGTGTTGTATTACATTTTTATTTATTTTGTTAAACATTTCCCAATTACATTTTAATCCGGATCAGGCTGTACTGGGTAGTTTTACCATTGAGTTTGTCGCCTCTGATCTAGAGCTACCCTTTCTTTCTGGCCTTATGTCATATTAGTCCCCTTCGTGTACAGACCAATCCAGCCATGTTGTACTCTTTTTCCCTGGAATGAGCTCTGCGCTTTCCTACCTCCATGCATTTACTGATGCTATTATCCCTCTGCCTAGATTTTGTATTCTCTGCAGCCTTCTTCTTGCAGAATTCCTGTCCAAATTTTAAAGACCAACTCACGTGCCAGGTTTTCCCCACCAATTCACCCCACCCCCAAAATCCCCGGTCTCCCTAGTCAGAAATAACTTTCCTATGCAGAACTCCAAGAGCACTTTGTTTTGTGACTCTAATTAGTGTGTAATACAGTTTATCATAGTTATCTGTGGTTTATTCTCCCAAAAGACTGAAAGCTTCACGAGGGCATGGATAATATGTTATCTAAACTTGGTCTCCCCTAGCACAGGTACATAATAATGTTTGCCAAACTAAATTGCTTAAAGGTACATATTATCTCTGACTCCGTATTTGTACCTTATATCTTAGGAACTGTTAAAAATCTGCCATTTGAGCCTATTGTATTTTTTTAAATTCACATTCCATCTACAACCAGATTCTTATGGCTTTTTCTCCTGATGTGGAAGCGGAGAACCTGGGTTCAAATACCACCTCAGACATTTACTGCCTTTGTGACTGTGAGCACGTCACTTAACCTCCCTGGGCCTCAGTTTCCTCATTTGTAAAATGAATGGGCTGGCCTAGATGATCTCTGAGGTCCTTCCAGCTTTAGGGCTATTTTCCCCTGATCTTCTAAGCACTTTTTAGGTCTTCCTTTTTCTTTCTATGGCAATTCTTCTTGCATGCTTTATTCTAACAGTTACTACCTATTTTCTATGCTTTCCTCACTATTCTATACATTTTCCTTATATGTAACTCCTAAATAACTACCAAATACTATTTATTCTAGCACACTTTCCAGTAATGACTTACAGGATGCCTGTTGTATAAAATGTAACCCTTCATCGTCTGGAGTTGAATCAGGCTTGAATGTCTTTGCAGAGAGAATCTAAAAACTGCTCTTTTTTTCCTCTCACCATCAGCATTCCTCTCTAATTACAGCAAAATAAGTTGATCTGTAGAAAGAAGCCAGGTAGCCACTGAATAGTGTTGGACTTGGAGTAAGGGAGATTTGAGATAACCTCTCTCAGCTTTCTTATTTGTAAAATGGGGGTAATAGTAGCACTCAGTTCATAAGGTTGTCATAAAAACCCGGTGAGATCCAGTGAGTATGTTGTATTTTTATTTTGTTAAACAATTTCCAATTATATTTTAATCTAGTTCAGGCTATGCTGGGTACGTTTGCCCTCGAGTTTGACGCCTGTGATCCAGAGCCACCCTTTCTTTCTAGCCTTTTATCACATTACTTCCCTTCATGTAGAGGACACTCCAGCCATGCTGCACTCTTTCTCCTTGGAATAAGCTCTGCACTCTCCCACCTCCATACCTTTGCATGGCTCCCTACTTTTCTATCAACACTCCCCTCTGGCTGAGCTTAAAATTCCTTAGTATCTCACACACAGTGTATTTATTCCTACCTCCATGTCTTTGCATATCATTTTCTCTGCATAGAATATCTTTCTTCCTGTTCAATTTAAGTCATATTCCCTCACCTTAAAGCCTAGCTCAAAACATTTCCTCGGGAACTCTTTTATAATTGACTTCTGATGAGGCCTTTATTTTCCTTGTACTTATGTATTCATAGGCTTAACAGTTTAGAGCTCAGAGGGACCTTAGGGACCATCTAGCCCAACACTGTCGTTTTATAGATGTAAGGAAACAGAATTAGTAATATATTAATACTTATTTATTGGTGTTGCTCTAGTTGTATATTTTTCTCCTCTGTTACAATGAAGTCTTTGAAAACAAAGATCATGTCCCTTCTTTTATTGTATCTGACCCCATCCTTCATCTCCATACAACACTTAGTACAGTACTGTGTACCTCAAAAGCTAATTCATTGAGTTGCTAACTCACTGATTATTTATGTTATCTCGTTGGATTCCTACAACAACCTTGTGAATTAGGTGGTATTATTATCACCATTTTACAAATAA